AAAAAAAAAAAAAAAAAAAAAAAAAAAAAAAAAAAAAAAGCTTAAGGAAAGATTCTATTATCTTTTAATTCTATTTTTGTACAAACTAATTGAAGTATCCTTATACATCATGTATATATGATACACACATTATATGTATTCATACATATATGTATTTATATGTATAATACACATATCTATATGACATATAAATAAATATAAGCTATTTACAGATTATATACATATAGTGCTATTAATTAAGCACCACAGAAAGCAAACCAAAAACAGAAATTTAAAAAGTATACGATAATGGTAGAATATACTGAAGTTCTAATATTTTCTTCCCTCACACCAATGGATCATCCTGCATACCTCCCAGCGTGCAGACACTACTCTGGAGACTATACTGATCATATAGAATTACTTGTAGTTTCCAGAAATGCTATGCCATTTCATGCCTTGCACTCACTGTAGTTCAGCATTCTGGAATATCTCAGTCACACTCTTGTAAAAAATCCAGTAGTAACTTCTTTAAGAATCAGTTCAAGTATAAATTTCTTTCTTTTTTTTTTTTTTTTTGTCTTTTTTTTCGTGAGCAGTAAGGGGATCGCAACCCTTGGTGTGGTGTCGCCCACACCGCGCTCAGCCAGTGAGCGCACTGGCCATCCCTATATAGGATCCGAACCCGCGGTGGGAGCACCGCTGCGCTCCCAGTGCCGCACTCTCCCGAGTGCGCCACGGGCTCGACCCAAGTATAAATTTTTTTTTTTTTCCTTTTTTTTGTCTTTTTTCGTGTCCGGCAACGGATCGCAACCCTCAGTGGATCGCAACCCTCAGTGTCGCGCCCATATGGACCGGACCGGCAACGGGATCGCAACCCTCAGTGTTGCGCCCGCACCTCGCTCAGCCAGTGAGCGGGAACCAGTCTGTATGTGGGATCCGAACCCTCTGCGGGAGCGCCGCCGCCCCAAGCGGCGCACTGGAGCAGTGCGCCACCAGGCTGGCCCTAAATTTCTTTATGATAGCCTTAAACTAGTCTCTTTCCCCTTCTTCCCTCCTCTCACTTGCCATCCCCATTCTTAACCCCCTCCTCTTCCGATATAGGTTCCATTCCTCTAAATTTCTCCTGTACCTTGTTCATGCATGCATAGAATCATTATCTTTTTAAGTGTCTATTTCCCTACTCAACTGTAAACCACTTAAGGACAGGGAACTCATCTTTTGATCTCAGGGACATGAATGTACAGCTCTAGACGATAGTTAAATATTTGCACAATCAACTAATCTAGCCTAACACCCTCTCTGTACAGATGAAGAAACTGAGACTCAAGTTATATGACATGTCCAAGGTACTAACTAATGCCATTGTGCTGCTCTCTAATGATAATGTGACATCCTCTTTACCTAATGTATCTCATTTATTGCTCATTAGAAGGCTCAGTTGTATATACGGAGCAGCTATAAAGTTCTCCTATTTGAAAACAGGAGGAATTCAGTATCCTACAAATATATACTAGAATAGAAAAGAAAACCTAAATGATAATATCTAAGTGATTCATTGGTTTTACTACTAAAATACTATATATCACTTTAAGAAATTTACAAATAAGGTATGAGTCATCTATTTGCTGAAAACCATATTCACATGGGCAGTCTACAGAATACTGTTCTGGAACATCTATATATCTTAATTGGGTTCCAAACAGTTGTAACCTGTGGTTTTCTAAAAGTTGTGCCCACTCAAAGCACTTACTTAGAAATGACGCAGATTTTAGGCTAGTGTAGAAAAATAAATGATTTACTAGTACAGTATCCACAAATGCGGTCTAGCAAACCCATTATTTACAAAGTGTTTGCATACACCAAGTCCAAAACGTGAGGGTCTCAAAACTTTACGTATTTGAGACCATCACATTATTATTTGCTACTAAAATGCAAGAATTTTCTCTTTTGGCTTAGGAATGTCAAAAATACATTATCATGTTTATAAACTATACGACATTATAAGTTTAATTTCAAGTATGGAAACTATTACGTCACGTGGAAACAGTATTCTGAGCACTGGCCACTGGGAATGATGATTCTGATCATTTAGAACTTTACCTTTATGTAAAAGAGAAACAGTCTCCCTGCTCTTGTAGGACTAAGAGGTATTTATTATACACAGTACTTTCGAAAACATCTATAATTCATTCAAACCTGTATGCTATCTCTTAGTAGTTTCACACAATCATTCTCACTCCTCATTCTAAATCCCTGTTTCCACATCCATAAAACTCGATGGACTAGATAAACTCTAAAGGTCCTTCCAGGTCTAAAATATCATGACATTACTTTGGAGTATATTTTACTGCCTAAAAATAATGATATGTGAATGAACTGTTTTTATATGGTCATAGTTATAATGCACGTGGAGACAGGAGTAACAAACATACTAACAGAAGTATAAAATCATTAAATAAAATATTAAAAGTAATTCACAAAGCAAATTTATGAATAACTATTCTATTACCAAATAATTCTACTTTATGAAAGAGTTCAAGAGGTTCCTTAGTTTAAAGAGAGCTGCCCTAATAAGTCAAGCACTACGTTAATTGTTTTTAGTGAAAAAAGTCACTGATAGTCTTGAAAACAGTATATAAAAAGCCAGTGACAAATAAAGATAATTTTAAAATTACAATTATAAATTAAGGACCAAAAAACTAACAAAAATTTTTGGAGTTATTTATTCCATAAAAACACAAGTATAATGCCTAGTTTTCAGATATGAAGTATATACTAATTCTACTCAACTACTACTACAACTACTACTATTATAATGGCTAACACTTATACTGAACTAACCGAGCGACAAGCAGTGTTGACTTTACATTTATTAATTCATTTAATTCTCACAGTAACACTATTAGGGTGGGTACTATTATCATCCCCATATACAAATGAGGAAACTGAGGCCAAAAATGTTAAATGACTTGGTCAAGTTCACTCAGCTACTAAATGGTCAAACTCCTATTCCACTTCAACCAGCATTTTCAACAACATTCAATTGTTTTTCTTTCCCTGAAGAATTTACACTTGAGAAATTAATTTGGCTCATATCAGCTACACAATGATTATAAAAAAATACATTTATTTTAGTATCCTTCTGTGTTACATTATTTTCTCTTACAAAAGAAAAATAATTGGATATAGGGGTGGTCACAATGCCATCTGAATTGGCTATGATTTCTGGTAGAATAAACACAAATGTCTGAACTTATTAAAATTTTTATGTTAATACACTCCCTATCATTGAAAAACTACAGTTCCTCAGATGAAACGGAGAGAAAAGATCAGGAGTACACCAGAGCAATCATTAACCACCTATGATTTCTGGTAGAATAAACACAAATGTCTGAACTTATTAAAATTTTTATGTTAATACACTCCCTATCATTGAAAAAGTACAGTTCCTCAGATGAAACGGAGAGAAAAGATCAGGAGTACACCAGAGCAATCATTAACCATTTAGTAGGACGCCATAAATCTCTGATAGTTGACTTGGGTAGTAAAAGATAAAATTATTTTTTGATGGTTTGAAACAGCATTTTTACACAAGCGGAAATTACTTTTTTCTAAAGACATTTTACCGTAAAAGTTTTTTTTTTTAATGTCATGCTAAAGCTGCCTAAAAGTTGCGGGTTCAACTTCCATGCCACAAAAACTTGTCCTCTGCCTACACATGTAACTTCATGCAGGAGCCACATCTCTTCACATCTCCAAACTTTACCTGCTCGTGGGCGCTGCGAACTCGCCTCCTGCTCAGCCTCTCTCCCTCCGGCGCGCGCCGCGTTCGGCCCACACCCACCACACCCCTCCGGGCCCCCGCCCAGCGCCGCTCCTCCTCCCGGGGCTCTCCAGCACCGACTCAGCACCTATCAGCGCCGCCCCCCGGCCCCTGGCCCAGCCCATCCTCGGACACGTGTGAGGGTGTGTTTGTGTCAGTTTGTCAGTCCCACCGGGACGGGGCTCGCTTACCGCGACAGAAGCGCCAACTTCTGCTCCAGCATCATCTCCAGCTTCTGGCCCTGTTTAGAGATCCAGTGGTCCACTCCGTGCAGGCGGTAGCACGTCTCCAGCATCATCCTGAAGTCCGCCACGAACTCGGTGATGCCCCCGTACTGGCCGCTGGCGAACTTCTCCTCCATCTTCAGCAGACACAGGCCCTGCCCGGGCTGCTGCGGAAGGGCGCGACTGCCCCGACCGCCGCTGCGCGGCCCTTCGGCTACCTCCTCCTCCCGGGTGGCAACGCCCCCCAAGGGCTGCAGGAAGGGGGCGGTGAGGCCCCGGTGCTTCTCCTGCAGGAACTCGCCCAGAATGCGGTAGCCCTGCTGCAGCTCGTAGGTCAGCTCCTGCTCCTTGCAGCCACCGCCCCCGACCACCATCGCCTCCGCCTCCTCCTGGTCGTCCGCGTCCTCCAGCGAGGAGGCACTCCTTCCGCGGGCCGGCCCTGAGACCCGGGCAGCCGCTGCCACCTCCTCCTCGTCGTCCTCTTCCTCAGCCGCCGGTGGCGGCCGCTCCTCCTCTCCGGCCGGCTCCATCTCCCCCGGCGTCTCGAGCACGCTCATGCCCACGGCAGGCCCAGGCTGGGCGGTCTGAAGGGGCCGCTCGAGGCGCCGGGGGACGCGTGAGCGCGGGCCGCTTCCTCACCGCTCGACCGCGCCGAGCAGCCCCTGC